ATGGCAAGACGGTGACTATTGTTCCTTAGGTAGTTTTTTATAGCTTGGAAAAATTTTAGGCGATTCGAGTCTGGTCGCTTCGGTCCATTAAGAAGACGTGGGCTATACCATACGAAAATCAGGCGGAATTATAGATTTATGGCCCTGAACGCCCAAAAACGAGTTACGGTCATTGCGAGGCGGTGACTATTGTTTCTTAGGTCGTTTTTATTGGGCCGCCAAAATTTTAGGCAATCCGGATTCGTTCGCCTAGGCCCATGCAGAAGGCGTGAGCTATGCACACGAAAAACTAAGAATCAAGCGGAATTCCAGTTTGATGGCCCTAAAACGCCAAAAAAGAGTAACAATCCTGGATAGGCGGTGACTATTGTTCCTTAGGTCATTTTTTATGAGCCGGCAAAATTTTAGGCGATCCGGGCTTGGTCGCCTGGGTCCATGCAGAAGGCGTGGGCTATAACATACGAAAATCTGGGAATCAGGCGAAATTCTAATTTTATGGCCCTAAAACGCCAAAAACGAGTAACGGTTATGGCGAGGCGGTGATTATTGTTCCATAGGTCATTTTTTATGGGCTAGAAAAATTTTAGCGATCTGGGTCCGGCCGCCAACGCCCATGCACAAGGCATGGGCACACGAAAATCTAAAAATCGGGCGCAATTTTGTTTTATGGCCCTAAAATGTCAAAATTCGAGTAACGATCATGGCGAGGCAGTGACTATTATTCCTCAGGTCATTTTTTGTGGATAGGCAAATTTTAGACGATCCGGGTCCGGTCGCCCGCTCCCATGCAGAAGGCCGCCTATAGCACACGAAGATTTGGAAATCGGACGGAATTCTAATTTAATGACCCTAAAACGCTAAAAATCGAGTAACGCACATGGCGATGCAGTGACTATTGTTTCTTAGGTCGTTTTGATGGGATGACAAAATTTTAGGCGATCCGGATCGAGTAGTCTGGGCCCATGTAGAAGGCCTTGGCTACAACAAACGAAAATTTGAAAATCGGGTGAATTCCAATTTTACGGCTCCATAAACGCCAAAAAATGAGTAATGATCATGGCGAGGCAGTGACTATCGTTCCATAGGTCATATTTTGATAGGCCGATAAAATTTTAGGCGATCCGGGTTTGGTCGTCCGGACCCATGCAAAAGGCGTGGGCTATATAACACATGAAAATCTAAGAATCGGGCGAAATTCTTATTTTATGGCCCTAAAATGCCAAAAACTGAGTAACCGTCATGGCGAGGCGATGTCTATTGTTCCTTAGGTCATTTTTGATGGGCCGACAAAATTTTAGATGATCAATGTCTGATAGCCCAGGCCCATGTAGAAGGCGCGAGCTATAGCACACGAAAATCTGGGAATCATGCGGTATTTCAGTTTTATGGCAATAAAACGCCAAAAAATGAGTAACAGTCATGGCGAGACGATGATTATTTTTCCTTACGTCGTTTTTGATGATCCGACAAAATTTTAGGCGATCTGGATTTGGTCGTCCGGCCCCTATAAAACGCCAAAAATGAGTAATGGTTATGGCGAGGCAATAACTATTATTCCTTAGATCGTTTTTTATGGGCCGACAAAATTTTAGGCGATGCGTGTCCGGTCGCCCGGGCCCATGTAGAAGACATGGGATAACACATGAAAATTTAGGAATCAGGTGGAATTTCAATTTTATGGCCTTAAAACGCCAAAAAACGAGTAATGGTCATAGTGAGGCAGTGACCGTTTCTCATTTTTTCGTGTTTTAGGGCCATAAAACAGGAATTCAGGACGATTCTGAGATTACGTGTGCTATAATCCACGCCATCTGCATGAATTCAGGCCACCGACCCCGAATCTCCTAAAATTTTGCGGGCCCATAAAAAATGAGTAACAGTCATGGCGAGACGATGATTATTTTTCCTTACGTCGTTTTTGATGATCCGACAAAATTTTAGGCGATCTGGATTTAGTCGTCCGGCCCCTATAAAACGTCAAAAATGAGTAATGGTTATGGCGAGGCAATAACTATTATTCCTTAGATCGTTTTTTATGGGCCGACAAAATTTTAGGCTATGCGTGTCCGGTCGCCCGGGCCCATGTAGAAGGCATGGGATAACACACGAAAATTTGGGAATCAGGTGGAATTTCAATTTTATGGCCTTAAAACGCCAAAAAACAAGTAATGGTCATAGTGAGGCAGTGACCGTTTCTCATTTTTTCGTGTTTTAGGGCCATAAAACATGAATTCAGGACGATTCTGAGATTACGTGTGCTATAATCCACGCCATCTGCATGAATTCAGGCCACCGATCCTGAATCTCCTAAAATTTTGCGGGCCCATAAGAAATGAGCTAATGACCGATAATCATTGCTTTGCCATGACCATTCCTTGTTTTTAACATTTTAGGGACATAAAACAGAAATTCATGACGATTCTTAGATTTTCATGTGTTATAATCCAAGCCATCTGCATGAATTCGGGAGGCCGGTATTGAATCTCATAAAAATTTGCGGGCACATAAAAACGACCTAATGAATAATAGTCATCGATTCTTTATGGCCGTTCCTCATTTTTTGGCATTTTAGGGATAAAAAACAGGAATTTAGGATGATTCACAGATTTTCGTATGCTATATAGTCCACGCTATCTACATGAATACAAGCGACCGACCCCGAATCTCCTAAAATTTTGCGGGCCCATAAAAAATAACCTAATGAACAATAGTCATCGTTTCGCCATGATCGTTCCTTATTGTTTTTGGCTTTTTAGGGCCATAAAACAGGAATTCAGGACGATTTCCAGATTTTCATGTGCTATAGTCCACGCCATCTGCATTAATTCGGGTGACCAGCCCCGACTCTCCTAATATTTTGCGGGCCCATCAAAATCGACCTAATGAACAATAGGCATCGCTTCGTCATGACCGTTGCTCGTTTTTTGGCTTTTTAGGGCCATAAAACAGGAATTCAAGATGATTCCCAGAGTTTCGTATGCTATAGTCCACGCCATCTGCATGAATTCGAGCGACCGACCCCGAATCTCCTAAAATTTTGCGGGCCCATAATAAATGACCTAATGAACAATTGTCATTGATTCGCTATGACTGTTCGCCATTTTTTGGCGTTTTAGGATCATAAAATAGAAATTTAGGACGATTCCCAGATTTTCATCTGCTATAGCCCACACCACCTGTATGAATTCGGGCGACCGACTCGGAATCTCCTAAAATTTTGGGGGCCCATAAAAATGAACTAATGAACAATCGTCATCGTTTTCCTATGTCTTTTCCTCGTTTTCAGCGTTTTAGGGCCATAAAACATGAATACAGGACGATTCCTAATTTGTTTTATGTATTAATACATTTTGATTTTGTAGTAATTTTTTGACGGACTCCAATTGGCCTGAATTTTTGTAGGTCAATAACAAACGACTTAGTGACTAATTTGCATTGCTTCAACATGACTTTTGGGGTTCTTTTTATGGTGTTTCAGGATCATGCAACACGAATTTGTAATTATATCTACTTTTTCGTGTGTATAAGAACATGTTGATTTTGTAGAATTTTGATAGACGCTAATTGACATGAAATTTCATAGGTCCATAGGAAACAACCTAGTGACCAATACTCATCCTTTCGCCATAGCTTTCGGGTTTATTTTTTGGTATTTTAGGTCATGCAACACGGTTTTGTGATTATATCCATTTTTGTGTGTATTAGTACATGTTGATTTGTCGAATTTCTTTGACGGACTCCGATTGGCCTGATTTTTCGCAGGTCCATAGGTAACATCCTAGTGACTAATACTCATTGTTTCACCATGGCTTCCTAGTTCATTTTTTGGTGTTTTGGGGTCAGACAACACGAGTTTGTGATTATATTCTCTTTTTTATGCGTATTAGTACATGCTAGTTTTTGTAGAGTTTTTTTGACGCACTCCGATTGGCCTAAAATTTCATAAGTCCATAGAAAATAACATAGTGACCAATACTCATTGCTTTTCCAGAACTTTCAGGTTCATTTTATGGTGTTTCAGGATCATGCAATGCAATTTTATGATTATATCAAAAATTTTATGTGTATTAATACATGTTGATTTTGTAGAAATTTTTTGGACGTACTCCGATTAGCGTGAAATTTCATAGGTCCATAAGAAACTTCCTAGTGACCAATACTTATCGCTTCGCCATGACTGTCAGGTTCATACAACATGAATTTGTGATTATATCCACTTTTTCGTGTGTTAACTTTTTTATGGACTCTGATTGGCCTAAAATTTCGTAGGTCTATAGGAAACTACCTAGTGACCAATACTCGTTTCATCATGACTTTCAGGTTTATTTTTTGGTATTTTAGAGTTATGCAACACGAATTTGTATTATATCCACTTTTTGATGTCTATTAGTACATGCTGATTTTGTATAATTTTTTTGACGTATTCCGATTGACCTGAAATTTCGTAGGTCCATTTCCAAATTCGGCATCCAGCTGCTTCAAATGCAACAAATTACTTATACTATACAAAGACAAAAGTTCTCCAATTTCACGTACTGGTATACTGATAAACATTAAGTTGTTTTGATCTGTACAAATCCAACGGAAGTTCTATCAACACACAGGATTCCAAAAAAATTCACTACACTGGACTTTTAACTTTTCTCTAGTCAAGTGCAAATGTCTCACCCGTCAAAGAACTGGTTTCTTCTGTTTTATTATCTTCATTAAAGCTAGATGGAATCTCTGCAGCAAACCTAGAGCCAACACTAGGAGTGTCAGTATTAACATAACAGTAAAGAAAATTCTTAAAGGGCTTAACTTATATAAACCGACACGTGTTGTTGCAGCTGTTGCAGATACTATCCCTTTTTTCAGGTTACTAATCCCACTACTTATGGACAATATGACAAACCACAAACTCTATACTCTATATTCTTTTGTTTTTAATAACACATAGAAACACTTAATAATCGGACATCAGAACTTAATTACACTCAATAATGTCTACCAGGAAAACGTATAAAGCTAGAAACATTTATATCGAACACTATGCTATGCACAATGTCCAGAAGATGGACCGTACATCGTTCTGCAGTGTCGTAAATCAATCTTCTATGAATGGGAAAGAAAAGGTAATGGAGACTTATCACTTATGAGAGGCACGACTTTCAGCCATATATTCTTCTGTTCTTTACATCACAAATCTAAGTTTAAAATCAGTTCAACAAAAGCCATCTAAGAACTAAAAAGATTCTCCACAACAATGATATCCAGTCAAATATCTCAAAATGGAGCCATATATGTCCAAATAAGTTGCATGCTCATGACTGCATAGAACACATACTTAAGGAGTAGAAATCAAGATATTAAACATGGTCAAACCTCATCCGATGATTTGTCTGGGATCACATTGTGTCACTGATGCTTTCCTCGGATATTCTTGATGGTTAGGGGATTCATCCCTTGCTCTTTTGGCAGCCTTCAAAATTTGTGTTTGAAGAGTTCAAGTAACCATAGCGATATCTAAAGGAATCCCAAACGGTAATATACTAACATGAGCTAAAAAGCTTACCCTCATTTCATTCTCCCAGGGTATTTTCACGCGATCTAGATTATAGTTTTCATCAACTGCTGGTCTGTCCACATGGATGTAATCCTATATATCATTCTCAAGGAAAACTTATCAGGATATTGCTGGATAAAAAAGAAGCAACAAAAATAGTTTTATACCTTTTCAACTTTACTGGAAAGCGCTCTGTCTGGACAATAACGATGCTTACTTCCCTTCAGGACAAAATTTGAAGGCTTGCATTCAAGATCTTCCTCCTCCATAATCTTAAGGTTCATTTCGTTGCAGCTAGTGAACCTAGGCTTCACCTGCTCTCCATTGACTTGTCCAGTGCGGGGACTTCGAAAACCATTGCTAGAGCTAGTACCAGTTCTAATTTCTGCACCATCATGTTTAGCCATATACTTATAGTTGCATCTGCCATCAAGCACCACTTCTCTTCCGGAACCTTTGTACATGTCTATTGATGAGTCCCGCCCAAGATAGTAACAATCACCATCATGAATAGAGGAATTCTGACCAGGCTTTTGGTTGAAGTAATATTCGGGATGAGCAGACTTGAGTGATTTTTTGAAACTTGCACCTTCCAAATCAGGGACATGAGAGTTTGTCTTGGAAATGGATCCATATCCCTATCGAAACCAATGCAAAAACAGAGTAGGTATAATTCTACAGATTGACTTGAGTACTTCAGTTTTGATAGTAAGATCCAGATATGGTAGGAGAGAAGACACAAAATTAAGCACAATTATATCTCAATCCATTTGCATTTGGGCCAGTAAAAAAATGAAAAGATGTTTGATCCCCGAGAAATGTAATGTCCAGAAACAAGTCTCCCTCCATGGTCCATGATATTTTTTTTAAGGTCTAATCATGGTCAAAGGCAAAATATAGAAAAGAAAAAGAAGTTGAAAAATAATCACCCAACAGAAAAAAGGAAAATAGAGATCACAAATTCTTAAGAGAGAACTTTTTGAGGTAATTTAAGAAACCTTAGGTCAATAACCAGATACCAAAGGTACTCAAAATACACCAAATATGCAAGCCAGCAAAATAGCACTGCAATTTTATGAAGTTAACAAAGATAGTAAACAAACGAAAAACAATTTTGTCACCATATCAGTAATGGAATGGGCAGTCTAATCTATAAAAGATGCAGCATCCAAGGTAACGAAATCACAAGCAAAATATGCTTACACTGTCACTATCACACATTAGTTCAAAGTACATTAAGCACTCAAAAAAAGCATATGCTACTGCATTCTTTTGTGTAGTGTTGCTATTCCACAGTTCTATATTTGGTAGTTCGTACTTCTTTGCCTCATTCATTCGAAAGATCAACTAACTGAAGTATATAGCATCTGTTGCCATGGAGTAAAAACTTATACAATGCATAGTCTAAATTCAATTAATTATCAACTTGACCCAAAAATTAAGCATTCCCATACAAATGCAGTTAGTTGATGGCTGTGAATTATAAGATCAAGGTTTACAAAATCACTAAGATCAATTTGCACAAGATCCACTTACTATGCATGAATTCGATTGCTTGTACACTTTAGAGAAATCTGGTGCAAGCGCTGGAACAGGTTCTCCAGCATATTCAGGTTCTGACAAACATTAATAGGAAAGTAAAAGTCAGCAACTCTTTGCACTAGACACAAAGTTATACTTTCCGAATCCACAATCAGATGCAAAAAAGAAAGTGAATATATACTCAAGCATATAAACTTGAACATGGAGTAAAATCCAGAGTAGAAGTGTTATTGGACATGGCAATAGGAACTTCACTCGTTCAGTAAGAAAGAGCCGTCAAACTCTTTTTTGCATCTAAACAAAAAATGATCTGAATACAAGAAGAGTATACACTACAGACATGTATAAGGAAATTTCAAACATCACATAGTTATGATAATGGGCACATAAAGTATTGATAAGATTGTAATTTTATTCCTCTCGAAGAAAGAAGATGAACCAAATTTCAGAGTTTACAAGGTTCCGAATTTTGTTCTGCCAACTCAATTGTAAGTATAAGAGCAGAGAAACTAGTAATTCTGGATAGAGAAGCATGTATAAGATGATCCCATTAAAAGGACTAGCACAAAAATAAAACCCTTAGTATCAAGAGAACATGAAAAAGGACTTCACAACTTGCAGATACCCTAAGTCACTCTATTCGTAATTACAACTCTGAATCAGTCTAGGTTTTAATGCAAATTTAATAATATTGTCATATATGAGCTGGTTTTGTTCGCAATTTGGATCATATTAGCTTTTCTTATAAAATAAACACAGTATTGCCATAATTATTTTTTTTAACTTAAAAAAGATTATTATTCTAAATATAACAATATCTTGTTCCTTAAATTGCACAGAAATTTTCACAGCACAATTAGATGATAGAGGTTATTTTAGTTGTAGAGAAGCATAACAAAATTGAAAAATCAACAGCTAAACTAAATAGGAACAGAATTAGCATGCTTTAAGGAGAGAAAGGCATGTACACAATGAGTTGAATGGATGAAAATACTTGGATCAGAAAAAAAAGTCAACTGCGAAAAAGACAAGAAGCAGCAATTTTAACTCACTGTCAACAAGATTTTGCACTGATGATTCAAAAGCACCAGGTGGAAGTGGATCAAATTCAACACCAAGTGGTGGACCATCCTGTCGGTAGAGACTTCCCAATTGCCTCTTCACAGCAGTAATTGCAGCATTTTCTACCTGGCCTTTCACCTTTAAGTACCCGGATGGGCCAGTTCTTGGTTTCACACTCTTAAGATCAGTAGGTACATTACACGATAGGTATCTCGATGTTGCCATATCAAATGATTCCACATTTTGTGAAAAACATGCATCCCGTAAGGAAGAGCTACTTCGTGAAGGTGTATCCTCCATGAGATTAGACTCTGTTCTATACTGAGTACCAACTTCATATGTAACATCCGCAGCTGAGACTTCTCGGGCAGTTAATCTTCTACTCTCAACTTCCCGATGATCAAAATTCTTATCATCTCCTTGCTTAGTACTTCCGCAAGAATCCTGCTTAAAACCGCTGCCCCGGTCCTGAATGACACCACTTGAACGATCTTGTCTTCCATTTGCATATGCTTCCCGACTTAATAGCCTCTTGTCTTTCAACCGCCTATGACAAAACCACCCAGAAACCTGCTTTTCTGTTAATCCTAATGACTGTGCCAGTTCTGATTTCATTGATTCTGTAGGATATTTATGTTCTGAAATTTTGAAAGCTCTCTCATTGTTAAGTTTGAAATAACATATATGCTATAAAAACTCATTGGGAAACACAAAAAATTAGTAAGATCTGTTACCCTTATAAAATTTCTCAAGGCCTTCAATCTGAGCACGCGTCTTGATGACCTTGATTCTTGTCTTGTTTTTTTCAGTATGACCTTTATCATCTTCAGAATGCATTACAACAGGATCTAAAGCATGGATAAGAAAAGGTTAATAAACCCAACAATTACCCAAGCTGGAAGTAAAGATCACATTCAACTGTTCCAACAACAACAGGTCCTACTTTAAATTGAACAAGTTTCATAAGCATTATTTGAGATATCAACTATTCAAACCAAAGGGATAAAACCTTTCCAGGATTAGACCAGAATACAGGATGTGCCTAATAGTACTACCCATGGGCTGCTTTAAAATGATGCCTAGCCCAGACCCTTTCACATTCGAAGCACCATCTGTGAAGAGGTCCATACCCCCGATGATGTACCCGATTTTAACAAGAGTTCCTTTTCCGCTTCGGGTACGAGGGTTGGTGCGAAATTGGCTACGAAGTCCGCTAAAATTTAAGACTTGACGGCCGTCCGGGATTGATATTCGATATTGTACCCACTGAGTTCGATGGCCCATTTGGCCAATCGGCCCAATAGTTCGGGCTTGTGAAAAATATTCTGAAGTGGGTAAGTGGTTAACACACATATGGAGTGACATTGAAAGCATAGTCTTAACTTTCTAGAGGAGCTTATCAGTGCAAGTGCCAATTTCTCTAAGTGCGAATACCTAGTTTCTGCTTCCCCTAAGGTTCGACTTATTTAATAAACGGAAAATTACGTACCTTGCTCTTCTCGAACTAGGACACCACTTACCGCTATTTCCGATACTGTCAAGTACAAGTAAAGTTTATCATCTGCCTTCGGAGTGTGAAGCAGTGGTGGGCTCAATAGGTATCACTTCAATTTTTCCAATGCCTGTTGGCATTCCGGGGTCCATGCAAAATTGTTCTTCTTTTTGAGTAGAGAGAAAAATTAGTGGCTTCGATCCGACGACCTCGAGATAAATCGGCCTAATGCAGTTATCCATCCGGTTAGCTTCTGTACGGCTTTTATACTGTCCACGACGGTGATGTCTTCGATGGCCTTGATTTTATTGGGGTTGATCTCGATCCCCCGACTCGATACCATAAAGCCAAGAAATTTGCCCGAACCGACCCCGAAAGCACATTTCTCGGGGTTGAGTTTCATGTTGTATTTCCTTAAAATCTCGAACGTTTCCTACAAATGAATCAAATGGTCCTCTACTCGCAGGGACTTAACTAGCATGTCGTCAATATAAACTTTCATTGATTTACCTATTTATTCTTCGAACATTTTATTTACTAGACGTTGATAAGTAGCTCCTACATTTTTTAGCCCGAAGGGCATTACATTATAACAATAGGTTCCATACTTGGTGATAAATGAAGTCTTTTATCGGCCCTCCGGGTTCATTTGGATTTGATTGTAACCGGAATAGGCATCGAGAAAAGTAAGGATCTCGTGGTCGGCTGTGGCATCGATCATGCGATCAAGGTTAGGTAGTGGAAAAGAATCTTTGGGGCACGCCTTGTTTAAATCCTTATAATCTACACACATTTTAAGTTTGTTCCCTTTTTTAGGAACTACGACTACATTGGCTAACCATTCGGGATATTTCACCTCCCGAATGGAGCCTATTTGGAGAAGTTTAGTTACCTCATCCTTTATGAATGTGTGCTTTATCTCGGACTAGGGTCTCCTCTTTTGCTTCACCGGTTTGAACCCGGAGTCCAGACTCAGCCGATGCGTCGTTATCTCCGGTGGGATCCTTGTCATGTCTAAATGGAACCAAGCAAAACAATCTATGTTATCAATAAGGAATTGAATAAGCCTCTTCCTGAGTTCGGGGGTTAATCTTGTTCCCAGGAATACCTTTCGCTCGGGCCGGTACTCGATCAATATAACATGTTCCAGCTCTTTGACCGTTGATTTGGTGGCATCGGAATCTTCGGGAACAATAAAAGTTCGAGGGGTCAGAAAGTCCTCCTCTTCTTCTTCTATCTCTTGCTTTCCCGATTCGGTCGAGGCTGATGGCTGTGATTGCTATTTGACTTCCTCTTTTCCTTTGATGCTCGACCTTTCTGAGGTTGATAGTGTCGATATTGGTGTTACCTCGTCGACCGCAAATATTTCCTTTGCAGCTTGCTGTTCCCTGTATACTGTTTTTACACCATCCGACGTCGGGAATTTCATCACTTGGTGGAGGGTCGAATTGACTGCCCTCATATTGTGGATCCAAGGTCTTCCGAGCGGGCATTGTATCTCATGTCACCCTCGATTACGTGGAATTTGGTATCTTGAATCGTTCCAGCCACGTTCACCGGTAGAATAATCTCCCCTTTAGTTATTTCACTGGTCATATTGAAGCCGTTTAAAATTCGAGTTGCGGGTATGATTTGATTCTGTAGGCCGAGATGTTCCACGGCCCTCAATCGGATATTATTCGCCGAACTACCTGGATCCATTAAAACACGCTTAACTTGAACTTTACTTAATAAGATAGAAATTACCAGAGCGTCGTTGTGGGGCTGAGAAATGCCTTCTGCTTCTTCATTTTTGAATGACAAAGTGCCTTCGGGCACATAGTCTCGAGTTCGTTTTTCCCTAGTGGTTGATACCTTAGTATGTTTGAACATGGGTCCCTGTGGAATGTCGATCCCACCGACGATCATATGAATGACATGTTGGGGTTCCTCATGTTCATTTTTCCTTTTGGGAGAACTTTCTCTGAAATGATTCTTGGCTCGATCGCTGAGGAACTCTCGAAGGTGGCCCTCGTTGAATAGACGAGCTACCTCTTCCCTTAATTGTCTGCAATCCTCGGTCTTGTGACCATGCGTGCCATGAAACCTGCATATCAAATTTGGGTTTCTTTGGGAAGGATCGGTCTGTATGGGTCTGGGCCACCTAGTATCTTTGATCCTTCTGGTTGCCGATACAATGCCCGATGCATCGATGCTAAAGTTATATTCCGATAACCGAGGTGCCTCTGTGGGATCGACATACTTGTCAAAACTACTTTTGCTCATAAGTCCCCGAGAACTCTGTCCTTGATCACTTCTTCGATTGTTCTGGGCGGAATTGCATCTTGAACCATTGTTCCTTCGATCTGCGGTATATGGTTGATATCGATCTCTGTTCGACCTTCGCTCCCTATCGATGTCCTTCTGGTTCTTAACTATCGACCTGTTTGGATGTACTGAACCGGAGGGGGCTCTTAGTTGATCGTCCTCGACCCTGATCTTCGACTGATATCGATTGTACACATCTGCCCAGATCACGGCCGGATACTCGATCAAACTTTGTTTCAACTGACGTGATGCGATCGAACTCCGCTCGTTCAACCCTTGGGTGAAAGCTTGAACGGCCCAATCATTTGTGACCGGTGGCAATTCCATGCGTTCTATTTGAAATCGGGACAAGAACTCCCTCAGCATTTCATTATCCCTTTGTCTTACCTTAAAAAGGTCCGATTTTCTCGTTGCGACCTTTATGGCCCCTGCGTGTGCCTTTATAAAAGAATCTGCTAACATGGCGAATGAGTCGATAAAATTTGGAGAGACCCTTTCGAAGGAATTCAAATTCCCTGAGTGATTTCAAGATTCCATTGCCAGTTACATTCCTTCCAAAAGGGTCAATTCCAAAAGTTAGTGATGTCTGAAACTGATTCATAAGTAGCCCTTCATATGAATAACTCATAGTTGAAATATAATTCATCCATTTCCAATATGATGGCATGTCATGGCTATTTAAAAAATAGCCACAAAACAAGAAGAACAAAGCAGTAAAAGCAATGACAGCAGCATATCCTAATATGTAATTTGGTACCACTGAACTCACAAACACAACAAAAGAGTTTGTGGACAGAAGGGACATGTAAAGAACAATCAAGAAGCATATAAATGGTCCGCGAAGCGATAGTGCAAACCAAACAATGAGTGCATAAACTACAGCCTGAACAGCCAAGAAAGGAAGGTAAGTAACTAGACCTGCAATAGTGTAAGAAGAGGCTCTATACTTGTTGTGAGATGTCTCGCGGACGAAGATGAAACGTTCTTGAATGAAAGCCGGGACAGCATCATTAGACGAAAAGAAAAACAGACAAACTGTGAAGATGAAGAAACTAAGGCGATTCGTTATCCCCTGTAGGTTTTCTTTTGGATGCATAAACATAGTTGCCATCATAATTCTCATGACTAGTTCAGAGGTACGTCAGATGTTTATAAAGTTTCTTCTCATGAGAATCCATGTCTCTGATAAGAATGAATTTGCAAATTTGGGGCCTAGATATTGGTATGAATTGGTGTTGGCTGCAGCATATGGAGTCAAAAAATCATTTACATTGAGAGTGCATTCACTACTTTGAGTGTGAGGGGTTGTAGTACTTAGATAATTTTCACTAGTATAGGCATAGTCACCTGGAGATGAACTGCACAAAAAAACACAAATATTATATGGCAGTTAGTCAGATAATACTACAAAGCATGTTTTATTAGACGACTAAAATGATCGCTAGCTTCCAAATCTTGTGTTACGAAAATAGACCTCTCGCCTAACTCAACATCAAAACTTAGCTCATGATGTGAAAATTGCGTAATATCATATAAAGAGACAACAACTCATTCTCTCAACTAATGTGAGACACTTTAACACCCCCAACACGCCCAAGGCTGGATCAGATATAGCTTTAAAGCAATTAGGAAGATCGGTCTCCCTAGGTGCAAGTTAAACATCTAGATGAGTGAAAATAGGCATTAAAGAGGCATGTTTATTACACGACTAAAATGATCACTAGTGTTCAAATCCTGTGTTAAGAAAATAGACTTCGCGCCTAACTCAACCTCTAAAGGTAGCTCATAAGGTGAAAATTGTCCAATACAATATAAAGAGACAACATCTCATTCCCCCAACTAATATGAGACATTCTAACACCCTTTGCACGCACAACGCTGGACATTTGGAGAGGGGAACACATAAAATAGGGGGATGGGGTCTAACATCGGGTAAACCAAGAACAAGGATGGGTTCGACTTTGATACCATATTAAGAAAATGAACCTTGAATCTAGCTCAACCTCAAAAGTTTGCTCATAAAATGAAGATTGTCCGAGACCATATACGGAGACAACAATCAGTTTTCTCAGCC